CCCCGACGCCTTCCTCCTCCTCCTCCTCCTCCTCCTCCTCCTCCGCTTCCCGCTCCGCCAGGGCCCTCGCGAGCATCTCCTCGCGCCGCTTCAGGATCTCCTCGCGATCGCAACACTTCGCGGACGTCACCGCGTCCGCGAGCATCGCGCACAGGGCGTCGTCGCTGAGGGTCGTTCCATACGAGCGAACGTCGGGGTGGAGTTGAAAGGCGTCAGAAGCGGAGTTGAAAGGCGTCGAGGGCGGGGATTGAAAGCGAGGGGTGGGCGCAGAGAGACGCCGGCAAAAGTCCTTAAGGAACGGCGTTCACCACGCCAACGTGGTCGTATGGGGACCAGTGTATAGAACGCACCTCAGCTGCACCGTCGCCGCGTGCTTCGACGTCGCGGCTGAAATCTGCGGGCGGTTTTCCCGCGCGAAGCGACGTCGCGTCGGGGCGGCGGAGTTCGGGGCGCGTCAGATGGAGTCGCGAGGCGTCGCGGTGCGTCGGGATCGAATCGAGAAACGAAGCGCGCGCGGGAAGAAAAGTCAGAAAAGGCATGTCCTCAAGGAACGGCGCGCGCGGCGCGAACGCGGTCGCGGGGGGACCGGCGCACGCGACAGGACGCGCCTCGATCACCCCTCTCGCGAGCGCCGCCGCGACGCGCTCGCCGCCCGCGCACAGCGACGCGAACACCTCGGTGAGCAACGACGTCTCGACCGCGTCCGCGGGCGCCCGCATCGCGTACGACGTCGCGAGGGACTCGAGCGCGCGGCTCCGCAGCAGCACGTCGCGGAAGATTAACGGCTGGGCGCGAAGCGTCTTTTTTTCGCCTCCGCCGCCGTCGTCGTCGTCGACGTCGTCGTCGGCGGCGTCGCCGTCGTCGTCGAACGTCGACGCGTACACCCGGTCGTCCGCGCGGTCGACGAGCCCCCCGACCCGAGCGGCGTCCTGCTCCCCGCCCGCGCGCGCGGCGTCCCTCCGCTCCGCCGCGGCGAGCGATAGCGAGGCCCACTCGCCCCCCGCGGACGTCGGCGACGTCGCGACGTCCGCGCCGCCGCCGGCCGCCGCCGTCGCGGGAGGCGTGGACGGAGGCGTGGACGGCGAGGAGGGCGACCGACCTCCGTCCGACGCGGCCGCGGGCTCGCGCGCGCGCAGCGCCGCGAGCCAGCGTCGGAGCATCGCGGGGCGTTCCTCGGGCGGGCACTCGCGCGCGGCAGTCTCCACGCGCGTCATCTGTCGACGGGAGGGGGAGGGGAGGTGGGAGGGGAGCGCGTCGATCGTGGGTGGCGGTGGCGTTTCTGATAACGTCGCGTTGCGTTGTTGACTCGACGAGATCTGGAGCGAAGGCGCGATTCCGCGCGCCGGCCGCGCACCGCTTCTTCGAAGCTCAGGGGTCTGAGCCCGCGTCGTCGGATCGTGTCGTCCACCGCGTGCGCGGCCGCGGTCAGCGCCGCCCTCGCGCGGTCGCCGCCGTGCCCGAGCGACTGCCTGACGCGCTCGAAGAAGGACGACATCTTACGATATTCTCGCTCGCTCGGAAGACGGACGACGTCGACGCGCTTCTGCTCTCGTCGAGAACGCGCGCGCGCTCTTTTCGCGCGAGCGGCGAGGCGAGCGGAGTTGTTCGCGAGTCGAGTCTTCTCGCGGCGGGGCGCGTCGACGCGGCCGCGCGCGAGGGCGTGTGGAGCCGCGGCGGTCCTCCGAAGCGCTCGCGCTTTATGAAAAGTCCGGACGCTTCCGAGATTTGGAGCTGACAAGAAGTGCCCGTCGAGACTTCGTCTCGGCGTAGTGTATCATTAGTTGAGGGACCTATGAGTATTTAGTGCGGAGCTGATGGCGAAATTTCGTTTTTTTTTAACGACGCGCTCGCGTCGGTTTTTGACCTATTTTTTTCTCAGACCTAAGATGCCGCCCACAATCCCTCGCACACGCTTCACCATGCCCCCTAAAGCCGCCGCGAAGAAGGACAAGCTCACCGACGCCGAGAAGAAGAAGATCAAGAACGAGAACAAGTGCGCGCCCGTCTCGATCGCGCGCGCGTCGACGTCGATCGGTCGCCGATCACGTCCCCCGAATCGACGCGTTTTGAGCGAAGATTTCCTCCCCCCGGGCGCGCTGACGCGCTCCCTCCCTCGCTCGCGCTCGACGCATCAGGGCCAAGGCGAACCCCGGCAAGGCCGCGGCGAAGAAGGAGAAGAACGACGCGTGCCGCGAGAAGCGCGCGGCGTCCGGCAGCCAGAAGACGTTCTCTTAAGTCCCCGACGACCGATCGATCGGTCGATCTTCCGCGGCTCTTTTTATTCCCACGCGCTTCGCACGACGAACAGAACAGGTGAAAGGGCTCGCAACCATGAAAAACTCGCGATGAATTATTTTGTTTGATCGATACATCGATCAACGCTGAAAGGAAAAATAGTTGAAATGGACGAGAGTGATTTCTGACTAAATCTCATACAAAACGTACTACGCCGTTACCGACGCCCTTTTTCAACCTGATGAGCTCGAAGTGCGTCTTGGTCAGTCGCACGTCGCGCGCCGCGCGCGGTCGGTCATGGCGCCGCCCCCCCTCACCGGCCCCGCGGAGGCCGCGGACCTCGCGAAGCGCGACGCCCTCCGCGCCGCGAAAGCGTCCTGGCACGCGAACGAGCGCGCGACGCTCAGCGCGAAGCACTTCGTCGGCGACGGCGACGTCGGCGTTCGAACGACGCTCCGATCGTCCGATCTCGCCCCGGGCGCGAACGCGATACACGTCCGCAACGCGACCGACTGCGAGTACGTCCTGGAGTCGGACGTCCGCGTCGCGAAGGTGTTCGTGGAGGCGTGCGCGCGGTGCGTCGTGACCGTGAGATGCGCGGTCGTGACGGAGCATCTCGAGGCGTGGGGATGCGACGCGCTGACGCTGCGCTGCGAGGCGCCGATCGCGACGGTGCAGCTGGACGGGATGAAGGACGCGACCGTAACGTACGCGAAGAGGACGTTTTTCGGCGCGGTCGTCCACGCGACGTGCGACGGGTTCCTGAACCTATCGCTCGCGCGCGGGGAAGGAGAAGGAGAGGGAGAGGGAGAGGGAGAGGGAGAGCCCCCCGTCGTCGTCGACCTCGTCGCGGCGGAGGTGCGTTCTATACACTGGTCCCCATACGACCGCGTTGGCGAGGTGGACGCCGATCCTTAAGGACTTTTCCCGGCGCATCTCTCCGCCCACACCTCGCTTTCAATCCCCGCCCTCGACGCCTTTCAACTTCAACTGACGCCTTTCAACTCCACCCCGACAAGTCCGCGGAGGGCGTCTTCGACGCGCGGCTGGCGGCGGCGGATGCCAAAAACGGAGACGTCCCGCAGCACGTGACGCGCATCGTCGATGCCGTCCTCGTCACCGAACGCGTCGTCCGCGGGAAGGACGAGTACCCGACGACGCGGCGCGAGATGGCGGCGCGGCGGAGAGAGCTCGCGGCGGCGGGGGACGAGGCGGCGGCGCGCGCGGAGGCGGCGGGCGCGCCGATCGAGGCGCGTCCTACGTCGCATGAGAACTGACTTTCTCTCCCGGGGTCGATCGCGTCGCGTTTCTCTCCGGGGCCCTTTCAACGCTCGACCTCGACGCCTTTCGACTCCATCGCCTGACGCCTTTCGATCGGACCCTCGACCGTCAGGTGGACACCGCGCTCGGCCGCGCCGAGACGAGAAAAGAACGCGGCAACGTGTCGTTCAAAGAGGGCGATTACCCCCAGGCCGCGGCGCACTACACGAGCGCGCTGGAGTTAAATCCGGCGCACCACGTCGCGCTCGCGAACCGGAGCGCGTGCTTTCTGAAGATGGGCGAGCACGAGAAGGCGTTGGCGGACGCGGAGACGTGCGTGAGGGCGGCGCCGGAGTTCGTGAAGGGGCACTTCAGGCGCGTTCTCCTCACACTGGTCCCCATACGACCGCGTTCGCGTGGTGAACGCCGATCCTTAAGGACTTTCTCTCCCGGCGCATCTCTCCGCCCACACCACGGTTTTAATCCATCCCCGCCATCGACGCCTTTCAACTCCAACCGACGCCTTTCAACTCCACCCCGAATTCGCTTCGTGTGGACCCTCGACCCTCAGGAGAGGGCTGTCGCTGCACGCGTTGTCGAGGTTCGGCGAAGCCGCGGTCGCGCTCGAGGCGGCGGAGAGGTTGGACCCGAAGAACGCGCAGATCAAGGAGGCGCTCAGGATGGCGTCGTTCAAAGCGCGGCAGCGGCCGCGGGATGACTAGTGCGCGCGAGGGTAAGTTATTTTAGAGCCAAGCGACGAGCGCGTCGCAGCATTCTTAACCGAGCGCGATGATGAGCGTTCCTCCGTCGCTAAGGTTACGTTCGTCCGTCTAGTCCCTCCCGCCGCGTCGTGATGTTGCCTCTCTTCGTCGTCGTCGTCGTCGTCGTCGTCGTCGTCGTCGTCGTCGTCGTCGTCGTCGTCGTCGTCGTCGTCGTCGTCGTCGTCGTCGTCGTCGTCGTCGTCGTCGTCGTCGTCGTCGTCGTCGTCGTCGTCGTCGTCGTCGTCGTCGTCGTCGTCGTCGTCGTCGTCGTCGTCGTCGTCGTCGTCGTCGTCGTCGTCGTCCGCGCGCGCACTCGTTCCGTTCATCCTACCACTCAAGACGCCGGCGCGGCCGCCTCGCGCGCGGCGATGTACCGCCTCACCTTCGCGCCCTCCTCGTCGCCGCCGTTCGCGCGCCGCGTTTGCGTTTTTCCCTCCCCGACGTCCTTCGGGTCTCTGATCTCGATCGGTCGCCGTTCGCGTCGCGCCGGCGGCGCCGCCGCAGTCGCCGCCGCCGCGTTGTGATGATTCACGTGCCCCGTCGGCACGGGGACGTACACCACCTGCGCGATCGGCGGCAGCTGAGGGTCGTTCCATACAAAAAACGTTCACCGGTCAGTTGAAAGGGGACGCGATCAAATGTTGAAACCGGGCGATGGGTGAAAAAAATTGTATAGAACGCACCTGATACGCGTACGCCTGATGAGACTGGTTCCCGTACGCCGCGTGATGGTACCCGGCGTAGGCGTCGTTCGCGGTCTCGTGACCCGAGGCGTAGTAGTCGTACGCGTGTTGTTGCCGCTGCTGTTGCGCGCCGTGGTAGTCGTACTCGTACTCGTACTCGTAGTCGTAGTACCCCCCGGCGGCGGCGTTCGCGTCGCGCCGCGGCTGCCGCGTCGACGCGGCCGCGCGCTGCTTTTTCGGCGGCGCCGTCGTCGTCGGCGGCGGCGGCGGCGCGGGGGGGGCGGCGCCGGGGGGGGGTACCACGACGGTGGGGGCGAGGTGGAGTACGACCACGGAGGAGCGAACGTGAAGCGGCGCGTGCCGGCCACCGCCGCGTCCGGGTCCACCCGCTCTGTCGTCCCCGCGTCCTCCGCGTCCGCGTCCGCGTCCGCGCCCCCGTCCGCGCCCGCCGCCGCCGCCGCCGTCGACGTCTCGAACGTCGCGACGGCGACGATCGGGGGCTTCGTACGTGGAGCTGTTCAACCACCGACGCTCGCGCCGATCGGGGGCTTCGTACGTGGAGCTGTCCAGCCACTGACGCTCGGGTCGCCGCAGCGCGGGGGTCTCTCGCTCTCCCGCCGCGGCGACGGCGACGGCTTTCGCGCCCGTTCCATGAGACGCCGCGCGGGCGCGGGCGCGCGCGCGGTCGTCCCCCGCGCGCGCCCGCGCCGCCGCGACCGCCGCCGCCGCGACCGCCGCATCCTCCGCCTCGGATCCCTCGGACGATTCTTCCTCCTCGGAAGACGTCCAACGCGCGAGCGAATTCGAATTCGAATTCGATTTCGATTTCGATTTCGATTTCGATTTCGTCTTCGTCTTCGTCTTCGAATCGTCGTCGCCGCCGCCGCCGCCGCGCGCCTCCTCGATCGCGAGGTCGCGCATGAGCTCCGCGTACCCGTCGTGCGCCCACTTCCCGTCGCCGCCGTCGCCGTTCGCGCGCGCGTCGTCCGTCGGCTCCCACAGCTGCTTCTTCTTCCTTCGCGGCGCGACGTCGGCTTTCGCTTTCGCTTTCGATCTCGCCGCGCGGCGATCGGCCCTCTCGCTCTCGTCGTCGTCTTCGTCGTCGTCGTCGTCGTCGTTGTCGTCCTCGCGCACGACCGGACGCATCGCGCCGACGCACGTCTCCGCGTCCGCGTCGCGTCGCCACCGCGCGTACGCGTCGTCGTCTTCCTCCTCCTCCTCGTCGTCCGTCTCTTCCGAGCGCGCGTAGTCCAGATCGACTTCTTCCTCAGGGTCGTTCTACGAGCGAACGTCGGGGTGGAGTTGAAAGGCGTCAGTTGGCGTTGAAAGGCGTCGAGGGCGGGGATTGAAAGCGAAGGGTGGGCGAAGAGACGCGCCGGGAAAAGTCCTTAAGGATCGGCGTTCACCACGGCGACGGGGTCGTATGGGAACCAGTGTGAGGAGAACGCGCCTCCTCCTCCTCCGCGTCGTTGTTCGTTTTTCGGATCCTCCTCCTCGCGCGATCTGGCGCCGCGGTCGTCGCCGCGTCGTCGCCGCGGTCGTCGTGCAGGAAGAACTTCCCGCGCGGGACGTCGTACGGCTCCGTCTTCGGGGAGCCGCGGCGGCCGCGTCCGCGGCGCGGCGCTCGGCTCGACGGCGTCTCCGGCGCGGCGTTCTCGTCGTCGTCGTCCGCGGCGGCTGTCGCGTCGTCGTCGTCGTCGTCCTCCTCCTCCTCGCGCTGGATCTGGGCGCGCGCGACGTCGTCGTCGTCGTCGCCGTCGTCGTCGCGATCGCCGCGACGCGAGGCGTCCGTCGCGGCGTCGCGGTCGCGATCGGCCGCGCCGTCGTCCTCCGCGGAGGACGACGGCGGCGAGGCGCGCGCCGCCGTCATGCCGCGCGCGCGTCTCAGAAGAAGTGACGTCCGATGGCGCGGAGACAGACGCGACGTCGAGCGTTGATGATGAGAGGCGCTTGCTGAGGTCAAAAGTTCGATCCTTATCGTTTGAAAGGGTGGCGTTTGCTTTGAAATGAGGTCGGGAGTTCGATCCTCCCTGGGGAAGCCCCGTTTGAAAGGGTGGCGTTTGCTTTGAAATGAGGTCGGGAGTTCGATCCTCCCCTGAGACTCCCGGTTGAAAGGGTGGCGTTTGCTTTGAAATGAGGTCGGGAGTTCGATCCTCCCCTGAGACTCCCGGGTCGAAGATGCCGGCATTTGAAAGGAGCCTTTGGTTTCAATTTTGAAACAAGAGTATGCTTTTGAAACTGACACGTGACCCACGGCGACGCACCCTCCGTGCTCGATTTTCATTGGTCGAAACTGGGTAAGCTTTCTCCGCACCGACGACCGCGCGGCCGCTCACTCGCGAGCGCGCGCCGGCGGCGACGCGTACGGTGTGCGATCGCTCACCGCCTCCGCTCACCTCCCCCGCATCGCAGGGCGAAGCGCGCGCGCGTCTAGACGCCGCGGTCCGCTCGACCGGAGCGCCGGAGGAGACGGAACAGCGCCGTCCTCATCCGCATCGATCGGAGCCGCGTCCGATCGACCGATAACGCGCGTCGTCGTCCGTCGCGATGCGCGCCGCCGTCGCGTCCGCGCCGACGTCGGCGGTAATGCGCGTCGCGTCCCGCGGCGGTAACGCGCTCTCGAGGAGGACGAGGACGAGGACGTCGTCGTCCCGGACGACGACGAGAGGAGGAAGACGCGCGACGACGACCGTCGCGATGGCGGCCGCGTTCGTCCCCGCGGGCGCGCAGATCGCCGGCGTCGGCATGGCGATCCCGAAGCAGTCGCTCACGAACGACGACCTCGCGTCGCTCGTGGACACGAACGACGAGTGGATCAAGACGCGCACGGGGATCGGGAAGCGGCACGTCATAAGCGGCGACGAGTCCTTGACTTCGCTCGCGGCGGAGGCGGCGACGGATGCGTTGAAGATGGCGGGGGTAGACGCGAAAGACGTAGATCTCATCATCCTCGCGACGTCCTCCCCCGACGACGTCTTCGGCAGCGCGTGCACGGTCCAGGCCGCGATCGGCGCGGAGGGCGCGCTCGCGTTCGACCTCACCGCCGCGTGCAGCGGCTTCGTCGTCGGACTCGTGAACGGTGTCCACTTCATCCGCGGCGGAGAATACAAAAACGTGTTGGTGATCGGCGCCGACGTCCTCTCGAGGTACGTCGACTGGCGCGACCGCGGGACGTGCATCCTGTTCGGCGACGGCTGCGGCGCGATGGTGTTGACGTCCACGCCGAACCCGGAGGACTGCTGCGTGCTCGGGTTCGACATGCACAGCGACGGGACGGGGAACCATAACCTGACCGCGAAGTTTACGAACGAAAACGGAGCGGAGGTGAACGACGGCGCGAGCAAGCCGCGCGCGGACACCGCGGCGGCGAACTCGGGGCGCGGCGCGTTCTGTAACATCGGCATGAACGGCCAGGAGGTGTTTAAGTTCGCGGTTCGGGCGGTACCGGACACGGTCGGGAAGTCGCTGGCGCACGCGGGGTTGGAAAATGAGGACGTCGATCACCTGGTTTTGCATCAGGCGCGTTCTCCTCACACTGGTTCCCATACGACCGCGTTGGCGTGGTGGACGCCGATCCTTAAGGACTTTTGCCGGCGTGTCTCTGCGCCCAGGGTCCCTCGCTTTCAATACCCGTCCTCGACGCCTTTCAACTCCGCTTCTGACGCCTTTCAACTCCACCCCGACATTCGTCGCTTTGTATGGAACGACCCTCAGGCGAACCAGAGGATCATCGACGGCGCGGCGAAGAAGCTCGGGTTGAGCTCGGATAAGGTGGTGTCCAACATCGCGAAGTACGGGAACACGTCCGCGGGGAGCGTCCCCATCGCGCTCGCGGAGGCGGTTACGGAGGGGAAGGTGCGTTCTATACACTGGTCCACATACGACCGCGTTCGCGTGGTGAACGCCGATCCTTAAGGACTTTTCCCGGCGCATCTCTCCGCCCACCCCTCGCTTTCAATTCCCGCCCGCGATGCCTTTTAACTCCAACTGACGCCTTTGAACTCCACCCCGACATCGCTTCGTATGGAACGGCCCTCACCAGATTAAGAAAGGGGACGTCGTCGCGTGCGCCGGATTCGGCGCCGGGCTGACGTGGGCGTCCGCGATCTTGCGGTGGTGATCGTACTGTAGTTTCAGTTTCGTTCGCGGGGCAGCCTGGGCGAGAGAGAGAGCGCGCGCGAGCGAGAGAGAGGGAGGGAGGAGCGGCGAGACGGTGTCATATTACTACGGCGCCGGTTCGACGCGACTAAAACAAAAAAATACAGCACTGACAGATGTTCGCGCGACCCCGACACTGATTCCATCCCTCGCGGCGCCCCGCACGCTCTCGCGCGCGTCGCACCACACCGCGCGGCGCCGCCCTCGCCCCGCCCCCGCCGTCCACGCCGCGATGGCCGCGATCGGGGACAAGCGGAAGCGCTTCCTCGGCGCGGGAAACGATGCCATGGAGGTCACGTCACTCGTGCGATCGCGCGTCGCGCTCCCCACGACGAGATCCGACTGCGGCCCCGACGGCGACGTCAAGTATCCGCACCATCCCTCCCCTGGGACGATCTGGACCTCGTCTCGGCTCGCGCTGCAGAACGACGCGACCGCGTCGCGGTGCGTCGCGTTCGTCGCGTCCGCCGGGGAGGTGTTCCGGCACGCGGTGCCGTTCGCGGGGGCGGGCGAGCGCGTCGAGGAGGGCAAGGGATCGCTGCTGAAGTCCACGACCGTGGACGACGGCGTCACGCGCGTCGTGCGCTGCGTGAAGCACGCGTCGGAGATTCAGTCGCTGGCGCTGTACGACCCGCCGGACGGCGGCGACGTCGTCCTCGCGAGCGTGGACGCGTACGGCGGAGGGTTCGTCACGACGCTTCGTCGCGGCGGCGGCGACGACGACGGCGAATGGAGCGGCGACGCGCCGGTGCGGCAGTACGCGCTCGCGCCGCACGAGCCCGCGGGTCCCGGAACGTCCGTCCCCGGGTGGGCGGGCGCGGCGTTCGACCGCGACGGCGACGGCGGCGTCCTCGCCGTCGCGCGGCATTTCGACAAAGCCGTCGACGTGTATGAAAACGGGAAGCGCGCGCGGACGTTGCGAACGACGCTCTGCCCGCGCGCGGTGTCCTTCGCGCGGGATCCGAACCGGCGCGGGGGGATTCGAACCGGCAGCAGCGCCGACGGCCCGCCGCTCCTCGCCGTCGCGGAGGGGAACCACGTCTCGCTGTGGGACGTCCGCGCGCGAGAGAAGGGCGGCTTAGGTGCGTTCTACTGTATACACTGGTTCCCATACGACCGCGTCGGCGTGGTGAACGCCGTTCCTTAAGGACTTTTGCTGGCGCATCTCTCCGCCCACCCCTCGCTTTCAATCCCCGCCATCGACCCCTTTCAACTTCAACTGACGCCTTTGAACTTCACCCCGACGTCGCTTTGTATGGAACGGCCCTTAGTCAAGCGAACGTCGATATCGAACCGCGGGGACGACGCGACGTTCGTCCTCGACTGCGGGCTCGCCGGGGGCGACGACGGCGGCGGCGGCGTGTCGCTCCCGAACGCGCGCGCGGGCGAGCCGATGATTCTCTGCGCCGGCGCAGATCGCGGCGTGACCGTGGTGAACGAAACGCGGATGCGTGCCGTCGCTCGATGGACGAACGCGATGAAGGCACGTTCTATCTTACACCGGTCCCTCCCCGTACGACCGCGTCGGCGTGGTGCACGCTGTTCCTTAGACTAAGGACTTTGCCCGGCGTGTATTTCTCTGCGCCCACCACCTCTCGGTTTCAATCCCGACGCGCCTCGACGCCCGCCTTTCAACTCCACCCCTGACGCCTTTCAACTCCACCCCGACGTTCGTCGCCTCAGTTTGAAATCACCGGCGCGAAATTCTCCGCCGCGTCCCCGGACCACGTCTACGTCGCGTCCGGGCTGGACTACGAGCTCGTGTGCGGGTGCTGGACGAGGCAGGCGATCGCGGGCGGGTTCTCGTTTCGCGGGGACTCGCGACTGTTGGGGATGGCGACGAGCGAGGCGGGGGCGGGGAAGGATATCGTCGCCGCGTGGTGCGAGAGCGGGAATCTCATCGCGGCGAGGGTCGAGCGCGTCGGGGGGGTGCGTTCTACACACTGGTCCCCATACGACCGCGTTCGCGTGGTGAACGCCGATCCTTAAGGACTTTACCCGTCGCATCTCTCCGCCCACCCCTCGCTTTCAATCTCCGCCCACGACGCCTTTCAACTCCAACTGACGCCTTTCAACTCCACCCCGACGTTCGCTTGTATGGAACGGCCCTAAGACGGCGACGGCGACGGCGACGGGGGGCGGCGGCGGGGGCGACGGCGGCGATGGGGAGACGACGACGACCGCGAGAGACGAGTCGCGTTGGAACCGCGTGAACAAGAAGAAGCAACGGCGGGAGTGGAGGGAACAGCGCGCGCGCGAGATTTTAGAGGAAGAGGAGATGCAGAAACGACTGGACGAGGCCGAGCCCGTGGACTGATTGATGAGCGTAGCGTACACGGTACCGTAGAAGGTACGTATGAGATACTGTATTTGGAATACAGTACTACTACACGCAGACTACAACTACCGCATGCGAGCTGTAGGGCTACGCCTCCTCTGCCTCCGCCGCTTCCGCCGCCGCGAATAAGAGGTCCGCGCGCTCCGCATCGTCGACTGCGTCGGCGACGTCTCCGTCGCTCGGCGCCTTCGCGTCCCCCGCCCACAGCTGCTTGATCATCCGGTCGTACATCACCAGCGTTCCCGCCATCGCGACGTTGTACGATGCGCTCCGTCCGAACCACTTAGGCAGCGCCACGTGGCACTGACACGCCTCCACGATTGGCCGGTTCAACCCGTTGTCCTCCGAGCCCAACACGTACACCGCTCTCGGCGGGTGCGCGAAGTCCTGAAGCGGCGTCCCGCCCATCTCGATCGCGACGAGCACCGCGCCGTGCGGCGAGCTCTTCGCGAAGTCGCCCCAGTCGTCGTGCTTATGCAGAGGCAGCTGCTTGTGCGACTGCGTCGTGTCGCTGGCTTCGTACTTGTGTTTATACCTCGCGGCCACGGTGAAGATGAACGCGGCGCCGAGCTGCCACGCGCTGCGCCACAGCGTCCCGACGTTCGCGTCGTGCTTCGGCTTCACGATCCCGATGCCGAAGTACCCGGCGCCGAGGTCGGAGGAGGGCTCGACGGACGTGCCGTCGGAGGACGCGCCGGCGTACGGGTTATTCCCGGCGCCGACGCGTCCGACGCCTTCGTCGGAGAGTTTCCAAAACCCTCGCGCCGACGCGGCCCGGCGCGTAACGCCGCTCTCTCGAGCGTTTTTTATTTGCCCACTAACCTTATCATCATCATCGCCCTCATCGCCTCCTCTCAGTACTTTCCCTTTAGATCCTTCTAGTCTGGTGTACCGCGTCGGGTCGCTTCGAAACGCGTACCGGTTCGCCGCCGCCGGCGCCGCCGTCGCCGCGATCAGATCGTCCTCCAGCCGCACGAGCAACCCGTCAGCGACCGCGTCTGGGTGGGTGAAGCGATCGGTCAGTCGAACGTCTTACCGGTCAAACGTTGAAAGGGAAGCGCGGGTGAAGAGTGACGACGGGAAAAGTCCTTAAGGAACGGCGTGCACCACGCGAACGGGGTCGTATGGGAAGCAGTCTCACCTTCTCCCGTCGAATGCGCGAACGATATCACGTCGTCGTCGCGCAGCCGGCGCCACCCCGCGTCGGCGTCTTCGCCGCCGCCGCCGTGACCGCCGCGAGGGAGCGACAGCGCGACGCGCGGGCGCCATCGGACGACGTCCACGCCGTCCGATGCCAGAGCGGTCGTCACCGTCGACGCGGGGACGTCCAAGGATTTAGATTTAACTCTCTCGGTCGCGGCGCCGTCGTCGTCGTCGTCGTCGTCGTCGTCGTCGTCGAGAGGATTCGGGACGGAGACGACGACGACGTTCCCCTGCGCGAACCTCACGCCCGGGTACGCGTATCGAATCGCGATCTCGGCGTGCCCGGGCGGCGGAGGCGGGCGCCGGACCGACGGCGAGACCTTCTGATGTTGCGACGGCGACGACGACGCGTCCGACGAGGACGCGCGCGTCGTCGTCGTCGTCGTCGGCGGCGGCGGCGACGAGCGGCGCCGCCGAAGCGTCGGCGTTCGAGGATCTCTCCGCGACGCCGACGACGCGGACGCGACGCCGACGAACGACGCGCGAAGCGCGGCGTGCGAAGCCATCCCGCCGCGCGCGTCGGCGAATGATGCGTGACCGATCGAGGTTTCGTTCGCTCAGGGCGACGGCGATGTTTCGGTCACTCCGAGAGCGCGCAACGGCGCGCGGTCGCCGACGCCATGAGCGCCGCCGTCGCCCCCGCCGCCGCGGCCTTCCCCGCCGCGGCGGCGCGTCATCGCCGTCATCGCCGTCATCGCCGCCGCGCCCCCTCACCTCGCGTCCGGACTCGCGCGTCGTCGTCGCCGTCGCCGTCGCCGTCGTCGTCGTCGTCGTCGTCGTCGCGAATAACGCTCTTCGGCTCGCCCGGCAGCCGCTCGCCGCTCGTGGACTGGTACCTCCACGAGCTCGGCCTCGACTTCGAGCTCCGCGCGCCGAGCGACGCATCGAACCCGCACCCGTTCGGGCAGATCCCCGCGCTGCGCGACGACGCGAACGGCGTCGAGCTCTGGGAGAGCGGCGCGATCTTACAATACCTCGCCGACGCCTACGGCGGCCTCGACGCGCCGGCGACGCGCGCGGACGCGGGGAAGTGGATCGTCTGGGCGAACGCGTCGCTGGACCCGTGCCTGTTCGTCGAGAACGCGAGCGGCCAGGTTTTGGACTCGGGCGTGCGAGCGGCGACGCCGCCCAAGGCGTTGAACAGGTTGGAGGCGGTGCTGTCGAAGCGCGAGTGCCTCGCCGGGGAGGGCGCCGGGGCGTTCGGCGTCGCCGACGTCGCCGTCGCGTCGTACCTGCTCTTCGTGCCGCAGTTCTTTAACGACGCGTCGTATTCGCGCTGGCCGAACATCGCGCGGTACTGCGGCAGGTGCGTCATCCGGCCCGCGTACGCCAAGGCGTTCGGGGCGAGGACCGCGGCGTTCTTAGCGGCGCGGTTAGAGAAGGATCTATCGCCGGCGTCGTCGCGAACGTTTTGGGAGCGTCCTGATGAGAGCGAAGCCGTTTAATAATTATGTCTAGGAGGTAGCTCGGTCCAGTCTGCCAAACGTGTAGCGAAGCCGTTTTATAATTAATACGAGATAGAAGATGGGATGGGAACCTCATTATTACCTTAATTAACGTTGGAGGATCGTTCCGGTCGTCACAGGTCGAGCTCGCACTCCTCGAGCTCGCATCCGACGCGTCGCCACCCCACCTCGCCCCTGATCCTCTCCATGCGCTTCTTCTGCTCCCCGAAGTCGCTCACCGGCGTCGTGAACGGATACACGTACTTCACCGTCGTCGCTAGCGATCTGTACAAGACGAGAAATTCCTTCTCTCGGCCCGCGTCGCCCTCCCATCCGTTCCGGTCGCCGATCCCTTCGTTCTTGATGAAGAACTCGACGTTGTCCTTCCCGAGCTTCCCGTCCATCTCGAACCGCAGGTAGTGCCCGTTCTCCACCGGAACGCTCTCCACGCGCCTCGCGCCCTGGTCTCCGCACGCGCGAGACACCGCGGCGGCGACCTGTGCGACGGCGTCGTCCACCGTCGCCGTCTTCGCCGTCCACGCCGTGCCGTACTGCTCCGGCGCGCCTCCGATGGATGAGGTCGAGACGCAGTTGAAGTTGGAAGGGCATCGCCGCAGGCGGCCGTTGGCGTCGAGACCGGTCGGCTCACTGTCCGGCATCGTCGCCGCGGAGGAGGAGGAGGGGGACGTCATCACGGACGAGAGCGCGACGGAGGACGCGAGGAGCGCGGCCGCGACGTCGCGGCGTCGGACGGGCGCGGAGGACGATACATGACGATCTGCGATCGCGTCGTCCGAGGAGGACGCCGCGCGCGGTCGCGTCGATGCGGCGCGGCGAGACGCCGTCGACGTCCCCGAACGGCGACGACGCGTCGCCGTCGACGCCATCGCGCGCGGCGCGAACGTCGTCGTCTGCGAAGACGCCATCTCGAGCCTCGAGCCGCGGACGCGCGAGTGGTGATGAGCTCGGGAGATCGCGTCGCTGTCGCTGTCGCTGTCGGCACCACGTGATGAATCGCGCCGCGAAACTACTACGTACGGAAAAAAACGACACGTGAAACCAAATACGCATACGCAATCGCCACGCGTCGGAATCTCGCTGCATTTTATCCGTGATGATTCGACTACGATAGGGAAAGCGCGAGCGGCTCCACGTCGTCGACGACGCGTCCATAACACGCGACGCGAGCACACGCGACGCCGTCGGGACCTCTCGAACCCCCCCGCACGCATCACACACCATGGCTCACGTCATCGCGAACGCGAGCGTCGCCGCCGTCGGCGCGAAGGCGGCCGTCGCGACGTCTTCCGCGTCGAAGCAAGCCCTAGGCGGGAATTTCTCCGCCGGAAGCCTTCGCCTCGCGAATCGCGTCGCGTCGCGCAAGGTGGCCGCGCAGATGGCCCAGCGCACCGTCCTCGCGGTCGTCGCGGAGGAGGTCCAGGCCCCCGCGTCCAAGGCGCTGTACGACGAGTTCGCGAAGCTCCTCGTGAACTACGAGTTCTCGTACAAGTCCGGGGACCGCGTCACCGGGAAAGTCTTCCACTGCGACAGCAAGGGCGCGTGGGTCGACATCGGCGCGAAGGCTGCCGCGCTGTGCCCGGGCTCTGAGGCGTCCCTCGCGGCCGTCCGCAACGTGCGTCCTCGCTCTCGCGGTCTCCTCGACATCGACGCTCGAGCGTTCGTCCGTTCCTCTCGTCGAAACGCGCGGAGGCGCGACGCGCGCGGCGTCGGCGCGCGTCTTCCGAGGGGACGACGACGCGCGACACGTTTCGACGGACGCTTTTTCTTCCGCTTCGCGCGGAGCGATTTCGCGTAATCCGCCGGATAGCCCCGACGCCGCGCCCTTCCCGTCGAACGCGCGTCCTGACGTCGCGCGTCCTCGCTCTCCTCCCCCGCGCTCGACAGGCGGCTTCCGTGTTCGACATCGGCGAGGAGTACGAGTTCGAAATCATCCGCGACGACGACGGCGACGGATGCCTCACGCTCTCCGTGCGGAAGATTCAGGTGCGCGTCGCTCGCTCGTCGATTCGACCCTAAACCCTCAAAAGAATGAATGTCGCGTCGCGTCGATCGATCGACGGCGGCGACGGCGACTTCCTCCCCCACGCCGCGCGACCCCCCCGCCGAAGAAGACCCTCGCGCCGCCTGACGCGTCCCTCCCCCGTCTCCCTCGTTCGCGTCGCAGCTCGAGGCGGCGTGGAACCGTTGCCGCGAGATGCAAGCCGCCGACGAAGCCGTCTCCGCCGAGGTGCTCTCCGTTAACCGCGGCGGCCTCCTCGTCGAGGTGGAGCACCTCCGCGGCTTCGTCCCGCAGTCGCACATCGCGATCCGCACGCCGAACCGCGAGGACCTCATCGGGCAGAAGGTGCCCGTGAAGTTTCTCGAGGTTGACGAAGACAAGAACCGCCTCGTGATGTCCAACAGGCTAGCCACCGACGTCGTCTCGGGCGAGGGCCTCGGCGTCGGCGACGTCTGCAAGGGCATCGTCCAGGCGGTGAAGCCCTACGGCGCGTTCGTCGACGTCGGCGGCGTCTCCGGGTTGCTTCACATCTCGCAGATCTCGCACGATCGCATCGTCGCGGTGGAGAACGTCCTCTCCCCCGGGGATGAGCTCAAGGTGCTGATCCTCTCCAAGGACGCGGAGCGGAGCCGGCTGTCGTTGTCCACGAAGAAGCTCGAGCCGAGCCCGGGCGATATGCTCAGGAACCCCGCGCTCGTGTTCGAGAAGGCGGAGGAGATGGGACGGGTGTTCAGGGAGCGCGTCGCCGCCGCGGAGGCTGCGGCGCAGGCGGAGGAGGGGGCGGCGGAGGAGTTGAAGGGGATGGCGCCGAGCAAGAGCGAGGACGAGGACGGCGACGCGGCGACCGCGGAGGAGGCGTGATCGTGTCGACGGGCTGAGGAGCGCGTCGCGTCGCCGCCTCGACGATTGATTGATTCATCTTTAGAATTCTTTACATACTCCGCTGGCGTTGAAATGGATAACGTAGTCATGCTATGCGTAAACGCAGTGTCCCGGGCGCGGAGGCGGCGTCCTCCGTTTCTTCTACACGCCGCTTCGACTATCCTCGCTTTCCTCGCTTTCGGAAGCGCCGCCGAACAAAAAAAATAGCGCTTCTTCATAATTTCGGACGTGCGCTTCCCAGTCCTCCACTCTGTTCATCACCGCCCACTCGAGCACCTCGAACTGGTGGCCCTCGCACGCGAATTCGCAGATAAACGGGCACCGCGGCGCGCCGTTTTCGCGCGCCCACTTCAGGACCTCCAACTGACCGCGCTGCGCCGCTATGCCTTGGATGGTGAGGATATCTCGCGGCCAGTTCTCTTCATCGACGTCCGCGTTCGGGATTTCCAAGTCCCATGAGTACTCGTGCGCGCGCGCCCACTTCAAGAGCTCGAGCTGCCCCGTCACCGCGGCCCACCAGCACACGGAGTCTTGATAGAGCGTGTGTCCCGGACCGTACAGAAAGCACTCCGGGCCGAAGAGGGCGAACCTGAGAAGCCCTTCGATGCGCTCCTTCGGCAAGTCCAGGATGCCGTCGTGCTGCATGAGGTAGGGAAAGATGCGCGCTTGCTTGTAGAGCAAAACTCCGCAAGGGGCGTGCATCGCAGGGCCGAGCCTGTCGGGAAGCGACGCCGCCCTCGTGTCCGCGTCTCGAAAGACTCGGCTCACGCGCGCGAGCGCGCACCGGTCGCGCGCGGACTGGACGTGCGACATGATGACGCACGCGATGTCCTCGTTGTTTATCACGTCGTCGACCGCGCGGCGGAGCCGGCGGGTTCGCGTTTCCATGTCGAGCGCGCGGGGGGGAGGGGGGAGGGGCGCGCTGTTGAAACTGGCACCCTCGTGGGCGACAGCTGTTCAAACTTCTCGGACGAGTCGTCTCGAACGTCTCGCAGTCTTCCGCGCGCGCGCGAGCGCGCACGCGGGGCGTCGTCATGACCGCCGCGACCGCGGGATGGAAGAAACCCAAGCGCGTCGCCGCGCCGGCGTCGCAGCCATCCGCGCCGGGGTCGCGGCCGCAGCGGCAAGAGAACCTCGGCAGATCTCATCAGCGTCTCGGCGCCGCGGTCGACGACGACGACGACGACGACGACGACGACGACGGGCGGCACGACGACCCGGTCACGCTCAAGAAGGCACAGGCGGCGCTCATCACGCATCACGACGCGCAGAAGAAGCTCCGCGCGGAGAAAGCGTCGCTCGCCGCGGACCTCGAGAAGACCCGACGCGCGCTCGACGAGATCTCCGCGCAGTTCCATCGCGCGGTCGCCGCCGAGCGCGACGCGCGCCTCGCCGCGAGCGACGCGTCCGCGGCGCTCGCGGACGCGAGAGCGGCGCTGGAGGAAGAGAAACAGAAGCGTCGCGCGGCGGACTCGAGGGTCGACGACGAGCGCGCGTCGGAGGAGCGGCGCGCGCTCGCGAGCGCGCGTGCCGCCGCGGAGGTCGCCGAGTCGAAGCTTCACGCCGCCGCGGAGGACGAGAGGCGCGCGCGCGCGGAGATGGCCGCGATGGAGGCGCGCCTCGACGCGACGCGCGCGGAGCACGCCGCGGAGATCGCCGCGAAGGACCGAGAGCTCGCGGCGACGCGCGAGAATCTCGCGCTCGCGAAGAAGGTGGCGTCGGCGGCGGGGGATCTCGCGAGCGAAGCCGAGGAGTACAGGGCGACGGCGAAAGAGACGTTCGCGCGCTTGCGCGAGGAGATCGACAGCCTGAAGCGCGGCGACGTCGCGTCGAGAGACGCGATCGCGTCGCAGAAGGCTGTCATCGAGTCGCTCAAGAAGGACGCGGAGGGACGGAGGGAGGAGGCGAAGCGAGAGGAGGCGGTTCGCGCGCGGATGCGACGCGAGTACGACGACTTGAAGAACGACGAGCGACTGTGTCGCGCCGCCGCGGCGGCGGCGCGCGACGGCGAGACGCGAGCGCTGACGCGCGCGCGCGAGATGGAGGCGCGGACGCGCGCGATGGAGGATCACGCGCGCGCGATCGAGGACGCGGCGGCGGCGTTGCGGGAGGGGATGCGCGAGGCGGCGACGAGAGCCGCGGAGGAGGACGCCGCGTACCCGCCGTCGGCGCCGCCGCCGCCGCGGTCCAACGCGGGCGGCGGCGGCGGCGGCGGCGGCGGCGCGGGGTCGGACCGGAGGGTCGTCCCGGAGTCGGAGCCCGAGTCGGTGGCGATGCCGCCGGCGGCGCCGGTGGAGCCGCCAGCGGAGATGTCGCCGCCCGCGCCCGCGGCGAAGAGGGGGAGGGGGCGGCCGTCGCGCGCGGCGGCGGCGGCGGCGCGGCCGTCGCGCGCGACGAAACGAGGGCGCCTCGCGACCGCGGAGGAATCGTGATCGACGCCACTGAACGACGATACACAAACTAGCGATCCTAGCTAGAGAACGAACGCCGCCGTCCCGTCCGTCGTCCGTGACGACGCGACGCCTATGATAAACGAAGAAGCGCCGACGGAAGTATGCGACGCGTCCCGAAAAGGTTCTAGTAGGTTACCTGACATACCCGACTAATAAGTTGTTACTACCTAACGCCTACGGAATCCGTTCTCGACCGATACCTTCACCCCCAGCCGCTCGAGCGCGGACGCCAAGTGCGGCGGCAAAGGCGCGACGACGCGCACGACGTCCCCGCCGCTCGGCTTCGGAAACCGAAGCGAACGCGCGTGCAGGTGCAACGGCACGCCGCCGCCGTCGTCGTCTGCCAACGCCAAACTCCGACGCGCGCGCCACGCCGCCGCCGACGCCGGATCCCTGATCGTACCGCTCCCGCGCCGCGCCGCCGCCTCCACGTCCCTGAGCGCTTCCATCCACGCCGGCGGCGCGATCTCGCGCCCGCGTCGCGTCCGCGGCGTGTCTCGATACCCGTACTTGTAATCGCCGACGACGGGCGTGCCGAGCGCGGACGCGAGGTGCACGCGAATCTGATGCTTTCGCCCCGTGGAGAGTGTCAGCTCCAGTAACGTCGGTCTCGGGTGCGTTACTTTTTCGTCATCGTCGCCGTCGTCGCCGTCTGCGTCTCGCGGTACCTCGCCGATGACGCGGTAGGACGTCACCGCGCGAACGCCGCGGGGGTCGTCCTCGGTGGTCGCCTCGACGCGGCCTTCGCTCGCGCCGCCGCCGCCGCCGGGCGCGACGTCCGGCGGTCGCGGCAGCCGCGCGCGTCGTTCGTCCGTCGCGTCGTCCGCGAAGAACACGACGCCGCCGTCTCGTCGTTTCGTATTCCCATTCCTCTTCCCGGGGATGCGAAGCGGCGCGCGTATCACGCCTTCGTCTCGCGACGGGCGACCGGCGACCAGCGCCCAGTACGTGCGCTCTATATTATATAGGGCGTCGCTCTCCGCGCGACCTCCGCCGAGGAGGCCCTCTTCCTCCTCCTCCCGCGCGCCTTCCCCGCCGGAGGCGGACTTCGCGGCGAACGCGCGCGCGAGCGTCCTCGCCGCCACCGCGCGTCTCGCGAGGACGACGCACCCGCTCGCGTCCTTGTCGAGTCGGTGGACGATCGTCAGCGGCGGCTTCCAGGGCGCGTCCGCGTGGAACGTCAGCGACGCGAGCATCGCGGACAGCGACGGCGCCGCCGCGTTTGCGTTCCCCGTGCCCGTGCCGACGACGGGAAGCCCCGAGGGTTTGTTCAAGACGAGGACGTCGTCGTCGCGGTAGAGCACCATCGACGTGAGCGACGACGACGACGACGACGACGACGACGACGACGACGACGACGATTCCCGGAGTAGTCCTCGCGCGATCGACGACGACGACGACGACGACGACGACGAAGACGCGGTCGCGCCGAGAGACGCCCGCGGACGCGCCGCGCGCGACGTCGCGAGCGCGAGAGCCGCCGCCGCGCCGCGCCGCATCGCGCGCGCCGTCCGCGGAACTGCGCGCCGCCCCGCGTGCACGCGGCGACGGCGCGCGCGAGCGATGTCGGCGTTTCCGCGACGTGAGGCGCACACAGCTGTCAGGTCGTCGGCGCGTCCGAGTTTTCTTTGTCGACGTCATCCCGAACCGTCGTCCCTCGCACTCCCTCCCGCGCGCGTCCCGCGCTTCCACGTCCTCCTCCGAACGACCGCGTCCACCGCGATGGCGTCCACCGCGATGACGTCCTCCGCGATGACGACTCGCGCGGCGCTGCGCTCCTCGCGCGGCGTCGCGTCGCCGCGCGAGATCATCAAAGCGGTGCCCACTTCCGGCGAAACGCAAACGCGTCGTCGTCGTCGTCGTCGATCGTCGACGACGACGACGCGCGCGGGCTTGCTCTCGGACTCCTCGCGCGCGACGACGTCCTCCTCCGCGGCGCTCCCGCCGCGCTCGCGCGCCGAGGCCGCGGGGCAAGACCTCGGCGCGCTCCTCGCGTCGCTCGTCCGCTCCCTGCCGGTGATCGGCGTCGACAAGGTGCGTTCTATACACTGGTCCCCATACGACCCCATTCGCGTGGTGAACGCCGATCCTTAAGGACTTTTCTCGGCGCATCTCTCCGCCCACCCCTCGCTTTCAGTCCCCGCCCTCGACGCCTTTCAACTCCAACTGACGCCTTTCAACTCCACCCCGTCGACAAGGCTGCCGCGCGTCGCGACGCGAAAGACGCGCTGCTGGACGCCATCGCGACCGTCGAGCGCGGCGTCACCGCGACGGAGGCGGACAAGGAAGCCATCGACGCGCTCGCGGTCACGCTCGAGCGCCTGAACCCAAACGCCAGGGCGCTGTCGTGTAACCTTCTGAACGGCGAGTGGGAGCTCCTGTACACGACGAGCGCGTCCATCATCGGCGCGAATAAACCGTGGCCGTTCCGACCGCTCGGGCCCATCTATCAGACCATAGACGTGCCGAGATTACGCGCGGCGAACCGAGAGACGTTCCCGTTCTTCAACGCCGTCGACGCGGACCTCACGCCGACGTCGGCGGCCGCGGTGGACGTGCAGTTCGTGAAGTTTAAGCTATTCGGGGGGTTGATCCGAGTGGACGCGCCGGCGGCGGCGAGGGGCGCGTTGAGGTGCGTTCTATATCACACTGGTCCCCATACGACCCCGTTCGCGTGGTGAACGCCGATCCTTAAGGACTTTCTTTCCCGGCGTATCTCTCCGCCCAGGGTCCCTCGCTTTCAATCCCGACACACTTCGACGCCTTTCAACTTCAACTGACGCCTTTCAACTCCACCCCGCCATCGCTTTGTATGGAACGACCCTGAGCGTGACGTACTTGGACGAAGAGATCAGGGTCTCGAGGGGGGACCGCGGGAATCTGTTCGTGCTGAGGATGCACGACGCGACGAAGGAGCTGCCGAGGAAGGGCGACGACGACGACGAGGAGGAGAAGGGGGTGTACGAGGCGTGATGAGCGGTTACAGAGCGGTTACAGAGCGGTTACGCGTCGCGGCGACGCCGTCCAAAAATCCGTTCTGTTTACGAGTATCGTCGTCGTCAATCGTCCTTCCTGTGTCCTTCACTCCATGCCGTCGTACAATAGCCGCGTCCCGTTCGGCTTGTACTTCTCCTCGTCCGCCTTGACCCTGTTCCCGTTCGCGTCGAAGAACCGCCCGCCGCCGAGGATCGCGGGCACGCCGGTGAGCACCCTCGATACCGCCCCGGGCAACGACAGAAATTCGATCGACGTGTTCGTGCCCTCCACCGCTCTTATTAGGGTCGTTCCGTCGTTCAAAGCGACGTCGGGATGGAGTCGAAAGGCGTCAGTTGAAGTTGAAAGGCGTCGCGGCGGGCGTGTCGGGAGGATCGAAAGCGAGGGACCCTGGGCGGAGAGAGACGCGCGCCGGGAGAGAAAGTCCTTAAGGAACGGCGTTCACCGCGCCGACGCGGTCGTACGGGGACCGGCGTAAATAGACTCACCTTATTTTCGGCGCGAGATCCGCGGCCACCACCTCGGGCTCCTCCGCGAGTACGTTGAAGAACCTCCGCGCGACGGGCGACGCGCCGTCGAGGAGCAAGTCCGTGAGCACCATCCCGGGCGAGAGCTGGTGGATCCCCACGGCGTGCACGCCCGCCTCTTTCAGCTCTTCCGAGAGCGACGCCGTGAGCTGCGAGAGGCCGCGTTTCGTAGCCTTGTGCGTGCACGTGGACTGATGATTCGATCGATCGACGAGGGTGATTGCCCATACGAAGCGACGCACGGCGGGGTGGAGTCGAACGGCGTCAGAAGGGGAGTTGAAAGGCGTCGCGGCGCGTCGGGATCGAAAGCGAGGGACCCTGGGCGAAGAGAGACGACGGGCGCGAGAGAAAGTCCTTAAGGAACGGCGTTCACCGCGCCGACGCGGTCGCACGGGGACCAGCGCGAGGCATAAGATTTTCGTACCTTGCTAAACGACGCGCCCCACCGCGAGAACCCAAAGTTGTACACGTGGTACGCCGGCGCCGAATCGCTCCCCTTCGGCTGCCGTCGCATGACGCGCACAGCCTTCTGGCAGCACAAGATGGCGCCCGTGAGGTTCGTGTTGCACACGCGCACCACCTCGCTCGGCTCCAGGTCCATCAGCGGCTCTGTCAGGGTCGAGGGTCCGTACGAGCGAACGTCGGGGTGGAGTTGAAAGGCGTCAGAAGCGGAGTTGAAAGGCGTCGAGGTGTGTCGGGATTGAAAGCGTGGGATGGGCGGAGAGATACGCCGGGAAAAGTCCTTAAGGATCGGCGTTCACCACGCTGACGCGGTCGTATGGGGACCAGCGTAAGATAGAACGCGCCTCGGCTCGACACCATCCCCGCGTTGTTCAGCCAGTGATGAATCACCCCCACGGTGCTCGCGGCGTAATCCCCGAACGCGTCCACGTCTCTCGGGTCCGTGACGTCGCACTTCATGCCGCTGACGCACGAGCCCGGGAACTCGTGGCGCAGCGCGGCGACGGCGGCGTCGACGCGCGTCTGCGCGCGGCCGCAGATGCAGACGCGATCGCCGCGACGGAGAAACTCTCGAGCGATGGCGAAACCGACGCCCTTCGTCGCGCCGGTGATGACGACGCCGAAGCCGTCGCTCGGCGCGGGCGGGTCCGCGATCTTCCCCGCGCGATTGTTCGGTTCCACGCCCGCGGACGTGACGCACAGGCCGCCGCGGTTGACGGTGGCGGCGGACGATCGACGACGACGGAGCGCGGACGAGGCGTCGGGCGATATCTTTTGAGGAGGAGATCGGTCGACGCCGCGTCTCGCGGTCGTCGCGCGCGCGGGGGACGCGCGCGCGCGGGCGCGCGACGACGCGAAAGCGGCGGCGCGCGCGGGCGCGCGCAGGGCGGCGGCGGTCGTCGTCGTCGTCGTCATCTCGTGCTGGTGGCCGCGCTCGGGTATGCGAGTCTGGGCGAAAAATATCTTCGACCAGATACCAGACGTCGCGTCTCGCGTCTCGTCGCGTCGACGAACGCTCGCGCTCTCGCGCATTATTCTTCAATCTTCGCCGCGCCCTCACCGCGCGCGGCAGCTCCTCGGGAGGTGTCCCTCGGGAGGCGTTCCTCGGGAGGGAGGCAGACGCGAGGCGCGGGAGCGCGTCGCGGCGCGACCGTCGCCCCCGCCCGCGAAGGGGGCGCCGGCGCGCCTTCGACGGGAAGGAACCGCGTCGAAGCACCGCCCGTTCGTCGTCGCGAGCGGGTACGGGTGCCCTAATAAAATTCTTCGCCCTCGTCTCCATCAGACGAAGCGCGCGGCCGCCGCCGCCTCCCGGGCTCGCCCGCGAATCATCACGTCAAGATGAACGCGTCGTGGGCGCGCCTGGACGAGGAAGCGCTCCGCGCGCCCCACGGGAGCGCTTCCTCGCCCCGAGAGAACCGGCGCTCCTCGGACTCTTTCCTCCGGAAGATCCTCAAGTCCACGTGGGTCCTCGTCAACGTCCTCGTCCTGATCGCCATGCCGCTCATAATCTGGGACATGTACAAGCACGACATGGAGACGCACTACGTCGCGTGGTTCGTCGCCGGCGTCTTCGTCCTCCTCGCCGTCCCGATAACGTTCTACGAGGTAGCGCAGCACCTGGAGCACTACCACATGCCGCGGCTGCAGCGATACGTGATTCGCATCTTGTGGATGGTGCCCATATACGCCGTGGACTGCTGGCTCGCGTTGCGTTTTAAAGAGCAGACCATCTACTTCGACACGATACGCGAGTGCTACGAGGCGTACGTGATTTACAACTTCTATAACTACTGCACGGTGTACCTGCAGGAGTTCACGACGACGGGGCTGGAGTCGATCGTGAGCCGAAAGCCGCAGCAGCAGCACCTCGGGCCGCTGCGATTTTTGCTCCCGGAGATGCCGAAGATGGGAGAGCCGTTTCTTCGGCTGTGCCGCCACGGGATCATCAACTACGTCGTCGTCCGGCCCATCATCTCCGCCGCGGAGGTGATATGCGACGCGAACGGCGTCTTGGGCGACGGACAGATCTTAAACCCGCTCGTCGCGTTCCCGTACCTGACGCTCGTGAACAACGCCAGCCAGGCGTGGGCGATGTACTGCCTGATTCTCTTCTACCGCGCCACTCACGAAGAGCTGGCGCCGATACGTCCGTTCGCCAAATTCTGCACGGTGAAGGCGGTCGTGTTTCTGTCGTTCTGGCAGGGCCAGAGCATCATGCTGCTGGTGAAGTGGGGGGTGATCCCGGTCCCGGAGAACGGGAACGTCGCGAAGGGGACCAAGCCAGACGCGGCGGATTACGATGCCGCGGACGTCGCGACGGGGATGCAAGAGTTTCTCATCTGCGTCGAGATGTTCTTCGCCGCGATCGCGCACGCGTACGCGTTCCCCACGAGCGAGTACGAGAAGCGAAGCAGTCACGACGACGACGACGACGACGACGATTCGTATCTCGGTCTCAGAGGAGGACGCGAAAGGTCGTCGTCGACGCCGCGACGCGTGTCCATGTTCGAAAACGTGAAGGACATGTTCGACCTCCGCGACGTCTACTTGGACGTGATCAACTACGGGGAGAGGAACCGCGAGAACGTGTTCGAAGGGCTCAAGGGCGCCGCGGGGATGTTCGTCGGCGGGAGTGGTGGGGGGAGCGGCGGCGGTGGGAAGGCGCATCAGGACGGCGACGTCGAGCTCGAAGAGAAGAAGAAGAAGACGGCGGCGGCGGCCGCCGCAGGCGAGGATTTAGGCGTGAGGGTGCTGCAAGGGTTGCAGAGCATCGACGGAGGACCGAAGAAGAGCGGCGGCGGCGGGGCGGGGCATCCCGGGACGGAGATGAACATCGACACCCTCATCCCCGGCCGTTAGCCCGACGACGCCGGTGCGCGCGCCGCCGGGGGGGCTGCCGCCGCTGGAGCGCGAGGCGAGCTCGAAGTTCCGATAACGACGACGA